TGTGGGTGTTTTCTTTCTAATTAAATGGGTGAGATATTTGGGCATTTCTATCATGGTTCTGTTAAGGAGAAGGAATACATTTGTCCAATCACAGCAGGTCTTCTTGCTCAGGAGCAATCTCTGTCACCTAGTGTGGGAGATCGGGTGCTCAGCCTGTGACACCTCCCTATTGATTAATGAAGTTCTGCAGGGAGCTAGCTCTGTGTTGCCTGGGTTAAACATTTCAGGACATCATCAATTTCTTTGTCAGTTTCTCTGCTTTATCTGATTACAAAATCTTTCCTCTCTAAATTTCACTTTACATAATAATCAGGCAGGACATTTGATCATTCATCACTCACTCCCTTTGCAGTAACTTTTCTTCTGTAGTATATGAAATGGACAATCAGTCCCAGAAAACCCCTACACAATGCAATCTATGAGCTAACCATTGTGAGGCTACATGGAGCCACGGTTCTGGAAAGCGCATATGGGGGGTAAGGAGCACATAGATCTAGACCTCATGTTAACTTTGGCAAATAAGCAGAGTTTAAGTTTCTCTCTTATTCATAGATATGTCTGACTGAATACGTCTTAGGCGTTAGGTCCTCTTATATATGATTTTAAATATTATAACCACCCCCCCATTCCAAAGTAGCTATTGTGGTGATTTTTACGGGAGAGAAATATGAAACTTAGAAAGGTTAAGCAACCTGTCAGTGTTTTGCAGGTCTGTTTGACTCAGGTGCATGTCCTATCCTTTCCACTGCCACATCCTCCTGCCTGTTTGTCCCTGTGCCTGGGTTTGTGGGACTGTGGTCCACTCTCCCTGTCCCACTGTTCCCCTACAACTCCACCCCAATAGAGGTCTTGTCTTCTCATTCTTATCTTCCCTTGGTCTCTTCCCACCCCTAAACTTTACTTTTCTCTGTGCAACCACATTGCAAGCTTTCTACGCCAATAGAAGGAAGGAAATATATATAATACAAATTGGAGCAGAAATAAATGAAATAAAAATCTAAAAGACAATCCAAAAGATCAATGAAAACAAAATCTGGTTCTTTGAAAAAATAAACAAAATAAACAAACCGCTAGCTAGGCTTACTAAGAAAAAAAGGGAGAAACTCAAAGAGGGTCAAAGTGAAAGCAGAGAAGTTCCAACAGACAATGCAGAAATTTATACATAAATAAGCTCAACAACCTGCATGAGATGGACATTTCTTAGAATTATATAATCAGCCAAGACTGGATAGACAAATCGTTGGAGGTGGGGGGAGAGGTGAAAATGGAGGGAGGAGGCAGAGGTGGGGCAATTGAGGCCATCACAAAGTCTGGGAGAACCAGCCACATTGTGGGGTCAGTACAAACATTTCAGGAAGGAGGTGAACTTTTCAGAGAGGATGGGGTACTGCTTCTGGGCGGTATGGAATCCCCAGGCCACTGGGAGATTTTAAAGAGGCAGCGAAGAGTCAGATGCAGTCCTCCCAAAGGCCTGGCTGTTCCTTGTGAGCACACACTTCCTGAGCTGGGAGCTACAACACTGATGCTGACCTGGAAGAGCCGGCAGTTTTATGATTAAATGGCAAGATTTTATAGAGTTCAAAAAAGTTACACTATTTTTCAAACCACACTTTTTTGTCTTGAGCTAGACAGAAAGCTAAAAAGTGAAACCATCAGCTGGGTGCTAAAATTGCAGAATAAAAGCGGTTGTGTGTCAGCTTTTTGTTGGTTTCAAAACAATCAGCCATGGGAGAAAGGGAGTTGGAGGCAGGAGCCACGAACAGCTGGGAATATGAGTCCAGGGTCATTGTGCATATTGTTTTACATTTTAAAAATGTCTCTGAATAAGGGGGTTGTAATTGTAAGGGGAATATAAAAATAAAATTTAAATTAAAAAAATTTTTAAATATTTTAAAAATAAATAAATAAAAATGTCTCTGGTCTTAGGGTCTGCTGATACTAGGTAACAGCACATTTATGTCTTGCTTGAGAGTCAAGATAGGGCCCCTCTGCGCAAAGCCAACCAATTTTATCATCATTAACTTGAAGGTATCTATATAATGCGATCTGTTAATTACTTAAATGTAACAGAGTGTACTTTGTGGAAATGCATGGATTCTGGAGCCAGCCACAAGTGCCCCCTGTCTTCCATCACTGGCGCTCTGCCACCTTACTCAGAGGCTGGACCTACTGCTTCTTACTGGCAAACTGGGAATATAATAGTTTTCTAAAATCATTATGAAGATTAACAAGTGAACAGCTGAAAGCCTGGCCCATCCTGATGGCATGGCAGGCATTTGTAAAAATGGTCCTGGGCTTGCACAATCAAATATATCTGCCTGTTGTGGTTTCTGTAGGGGTAATTCTGGGGTGCCTCTTTTTTTTAAAGATTTATTTATTTTTTATACAAGCACTGGGTACAGTCAAAAGCGTGGGAGGGTGAGAGAATTCACCAGAGCCAGAGCGGGGAGCAGAACAGGCAGACTGACGAAATACACTGCTGAGGGGAGCAGCGGGCACTGCAGGAGAGGTCTGCGTGCCATGTGGGACCCTCGCCAGCGGCAGGGGAATGAACCGGCTCTGCAGAGGCTGCGGGCAGCTTCGCAGCCCAGCACTCAACTGATGCGCCACCAGGGGAGCCCAGGGGTTGCCTCCTCTTTATCCCCTTTGGTCCTTTGAATAATCAGACAATACATTGACACAAGAGAAGTTAGGAAGATAAGAAACACTTAATTTGTGCACATGGAGCCCTATAGTGTATGGAAACTATGATCTAATCAATACAATGGGGGCTATATATGTTTTAGAAAGCAGGTAATAAATTTGGGAGGAAAAGACAAGTCAAAGAATACTAATACTGAGGTAACATTGGTTTACAATACTGGATATGATTTAGGGCTAGGTACACACCTCCTCCACACCACCCCCACCACCAAGACATACATATCCTAGACCACTGAGTCCCCCACTTTGATCTCACCCTTATTCTCCCCCCTCTAGTAGCCTCATTTCTGCAGTCATATTTCTAGGGTTGGTTTGGTTTCAGTTTTTTTCTGTTCCTTGTTTGTTCCTCAATATTCCACGTATGAGTTGAATTATCCTATATTTATCTTTTTCTTCCGACTTACTTCACTTCGCACAATCCCCTCCAATTCCGTCCATGTTGTCACAAATGGCAAGATTTCATCTTTTTTATAACTGAGTAAGTAGTGCAGGAAGTGGATAAGACACACTATAATAAAATCCATAATAAAGTCCAAGCTCTAAATAGGACTCAGAAACTCTAGTCTGAAGAGATAAGGTAGTTTCCCTCCACCAGGTACAGGGAGAAAATTAATTCCTGCTTCAGAGAGACAGATAATTGGGCAAAGCATCATTCTCGGATCTGGTATTTCTCAATTGCCTTCAATTCAAAACGATCAGATATAACTTTGGCATGTCATATAATCTGTCCTTGGTCCGCATAGGCTATAGGAGTTGTGAAGACCCAGAAGTGGAAAATTGTGACCCCCTGGAAAATGAGGTGCAGGCCTGAGAGCCCGGAGCAGGAGATTGGCCAAAAATGGAGACAGTGTCAGGGCAGCAGAGGCACAAGGAACCACCAAGAAAGCAGCTCAGCATCACAGACTATCAGAACCACATCAGAGAAGAGCCATGAATATAGGCTCTTCTAATAGCTGGCATCTCCTTGTATAGCTGGCTCCTATATAGCTGGCATCTCCTTCCCAAACACCCCAATGAACCCATCCATTTCTATTAACCCCACTGCTGCTGTTTGAGGTCTGGAGACCTGGGCTCCTTCAAGGGCTTCCAAACTCATCTATCTTCCTGCCTCCCCTCCCTTCCATCCATTTGCCCCTCCTCTTTGCAGCAAGAAAGATCCTTGTGGATCTAAACACACCTGCCTGGCCCTACTGCCCTCAGTGACTACTAGCTGCCTTCCGTATAAAGTCACATGGTTGACAACACCTTCTGGGCCTGGCTCCTCATATCCAGTCACTGGCCTCCTTGCTGACAATGCTCCCAAAGAAACTCAGTTCCTCCACCTTATTGTGTTAGCTGTGTCCTCTGGGCCTTTACATGTTCTATTCCCTCCACTTAAGAATATTCTTACCTCTGCCCTTCATTTTTCAGATTTCTCATTATATAAATTCCTTCCTCTAGGAAGCCCTTCTTGCCTATCTGCCAACCCAAGATTGAGTCAACATCCACTGTAAGTTCCAGGTTGCTTGAACGTACCTCCAACAAGGCAGGCAGTAGCACTCAGTTAATGCTCCCTGAATGAATAGCTTGGCCCAGCACGGGAGCGGCAGCAATACTGAGATAATTCACCCAGCAATGCTCTTTTATGTTTTTTCCCATCTATGTCAGTCAGAGTTTCAGCAGGAAACAGACAGCCCCATAAACCCGGGTAGTCTAGGAGAGTGTTCTGAAGGCAGTTTTTACAAAGGCATAGACAGAGAGTCATGGGAATCCAGCAAGGGAGGGTGAAGGGCTCAGAGCTTGAAGAGCGGTTGCTGGGCATGAGTGTGGCCCTCCCTTCCCCCACCTGGGCCTCCTTGGCTGTCTCCCATTGGCAAGTAGAGGATGTGGAGCTCCTTGATATGATTGTAGCCCTGTGGGCTCTGAGTGGAGTGGAGGAGGGCAGTGTGTGACCTGTAGGAGGAAACAGAGGATCCGGCACCCTGTCTTATGCTATCATAGATGCAGAATTCTGCCTGCTGAGTTGATACTTGATAAGGAACATGGGAGTAAAAAAGTCCTGAGTGTGGAGCCCTCATGGTGGGATTAGAGGGCATCTCTGTTCACCCTGAAGGACACCACAGGAAGTGGCTGTCTACAGGCCAACTGTCAAGAAATCTGAGTAGAGATTAAATTACAATGATTCTTTAAAATCTTTTCATTGACTTGAAAAGATTAAAACTTTAAAAGATTAGTTTTATTGGAACTCCATGTTTTATTAAAATTTAATAAAAGTACCTTTTAAATTTCAGTTTAAAATAAAAAATTTGGGCCTCCCTGGTCTTGCAGGGGTTAAAGTCTCAGAGCTATCAAGCTATTGCCAGCCACTGTAACATAAGTTCCCCCACATGATGCAGCAGACCTCTCTGTGTCATCTGCTGCTCCCCTCAGCTGGGTATCTCAGTAGATCCACCTGTTCTTCTCCCCACTCCGTCTCTGGTGAATCCTTGCACCCCGCCCCCATGCTGCTTGCCTAGACCCCAGTTCTTATATGCATAGATGAATAAAAATAAATCTTTAAAATAAAAACTTCTCCTTTGAGATTTGTTCCAAACTGGGACATAACACAGTCACCAGCCTGCTCGCCACCAAACAATCTGAGGTCTGAGCAAAGACCGCTCACCTGTGCAAGTGTGGACAAGCCATCTTTCCCCTGGGGTAACAGCTCAACAGAAACAGGCATGACAATTTTTCCACTGTCTGTACAGAGGTCTGGAAATTAGATGTTAGACCAGAGATAAATTGCAATTTGAGGGTTAATATGCTGTCATTTGGAAGATGTAAGAGTGGAGTGAGTGTTCTTCCTGTAAGAACAGATGCACATGTCTTGGGAACACATTAATAGCCTCATGTCCACTAAATCCTGGTGTGCCATGATAATTTAAAGCCAGACAGTGTGCAAAGGCTCCCTGTGTGTACGAAGTGCTTACAACGCCATCTGCTTTTGTCTGTATTTAGGTACACAATTAGCCCAGAGAGTTAAGAAGTGAAGGTTGCAGGGGCCAGATGCTACTCAGCCCTCATTTCATCCAAAGGAAACCTAGAATTCAAACAGCATCAGAACCGCAACTGAAGATGCTTGCATCTGCCACCACCTTTGTTCACCACCCAAGCTCAAGATATTTTCCACCAGAGAGTCAGCTTTGATGGCCATTCCTCCGTGTGACAGCGGCCCCCGCTCTACTCTAGGAGACCTTGGACATCTTTGCTTAGGGCTGGTTACAGATCCTTTAGCTGGGCAGCACATGCATAATGTGTGGGTGCTGAGCATTTGTGTCCCCCACATTCACATATCAAAGCCCTAATTCCCAATGTGATGGTCATCAGTGTGGCCTCTGGGAGGTAAAAAGGTCCTGAGGGTGGAGTCCTTGTGGTGGGATTAGAGGGATCTCTGTTGACCTTGGGGGACACAGCGGGAAGTAGCGGGAGGGAGATTTCACCAGACCTGCTCTGCGGAAGCCTGCCTCCTGGACTTCCCACTCTCTAGAACTGTGAGAAATAAATATTTGCTGTCAAGTCATCTCACCCAGTTGATGGTATCTTCTTATAGCAGCTTGGACTGACTAAGGCAGTAGGCATGTGGTATATACTTGGTGGGCGCTATGTTAAATTTTTTTTCTAAGGGAGGAAAAGAAAGAAGCTTTTATCTGGGCACTCCTGTGGGCCAGCAGGGAAGGATCCTTTTGGGCCATTGGTGCAGAGAGAGGAATACAGAGGCCTGGAGGGCAAGCAGGATACAGAGTCTGGAGTAGGGCAGGGTGCCCCAGCCTCAGAACAAAGCCTGGGCACAGGGAACTTGGTCTCCCAGTCATGGGCCCCCAGCTAAGCCAAGTAGAGGCAAGTGCAGTACGTTTCTTGGGAATTTGCCATTAGGACCCAGAAGTACTACGGGGATGCTGGCAGGGCCTGGAGAACTGCTGGCAGTATTTCCACTGGGTTGGGGCTTCTTGTGAAGGCCTGACGTCCCAGGAGCTGGACGTGACCTGAGCAGCACTATACAAGACTGAAGGGCAGGAGGCATTGGAGGATACAGCTTTGGAGT